CTCGTAGTTTGACATTATGGAGGAGGGAAGCTGACAAAACGGACAAAAAGGCCCACATCGTCCCGGTCAACTACGGTTTGGTTACGGCGGAGAAAGTAGAATGATTTGCGGGAGTTTCTGCATTGTGGGTTTTGCCGTTTTACGCCTTAGGTGTTGTATTTGTAGCCACATCCTGGTGGCTCTTCCAGATCATACAAAATGTTTCTTTAGGGACAGATTTTAAACAAGCACGCAACCTGAAACACTCAAACAACAATGCCAGATCTAAGGACACACCTACACAGCTTGATGTAGTATGGAACGAAGGAAAAGGCATAAATAAATGCCTTTATAAATAAATAAGTCTGTTGAAGGCTTTGATCCTCCTTCACGTTGAGATAAGGCTGAATTCTAAACTGCTGATACGAATCTTGCATGCTTTTTCTGTAGAAGTTCTCTCAACGATTTCTATAGAATTTTACTTCAGACGTTTTCCATAGAATAAAACAGAATAATGTGTCTTTTGCAGAGGACTTAAAAAAAACATTGTAAAATCGTAATTGGGATGAAATACTGATTGGGGCCAATACAAAAACAGTGAGACAAACAGACCATTGAACTAAACTTTTTTTTTTTTTGATTGTTTGTATAGTGACACTTTAACTATGGTATAGCGAGGCATCACACTTTAATTAAAGTTCTGTAAAATAGTTCAAATCCAGTCTTTTAGCAGCACTTTTTGCTGTTCAAATTCATCATATATTCAAGTCAATGTCCATTTTACGTTGTGTGAAAAATGTAGTTTTAGTTGTAGTAATCTCATGACACCAAGTTAATGCTAAATTCTAATAATAATATTTTGATTGTAAGAATTGGCAGGCTTTGTTGAGTCTATGCTCATGTTGAATGTTCAGGTGTTTCATATTTTGTTCATTATTGACAGGCTGTTTTCAATAAAGATTAAGATTAAGAAATTACAGTGGGGAATTGTCAGTGTTGCAGAAGAGAAGAATGAGGAACACACAGCACCAGATGAGATTAATGAACACAGCTCTATTCTAAACTCTCTACTAAATAAAATAACATAAAATAATCTCTAGTTTCAGCAAAATAGGGAAGCAGAATATCATCTATAAGAAGCAAGAATTAAGCACAACGTCTCTTACTTTAGCATAACAAAGAAGTAATTATAACAGTATTAAAAAAAACAGTATAAAAAAGCAAATTCACTTAATTAAGCATAGGTCTAACTTTGTATATTCGTATTTAACATAATTTAACGTAATATTTACAGTCTATGCGTAATACACATGATCGTCGAGGATTCTTTACTCACCTCTCAAATCCTGCAGTGTGCGCAAACTTTATCATCAATAATTCAGACTACACAAATAAAACATACATTTAAAATATTGTTCATTGTTATAGTTTAATACTCTTTACCTGAAAACTCACAGCGCCTCTGATGTGGGTCCTGCTGAAACTTTCTCCCTCGGTATTATAAAAACCTCCTTGCCTTCTTCGTAAAACTTCGGTGGAAGAAAATTACCGCTAATTAGAATTATTTGTTGAAGTCTTAAGACCTCAAATGGTTTAAATTCGACCTGATCAAACGTGAAGCTTCTTTATCACATGAATGGTCAATACTAATGAACAAGGAAGGAGGGGTTTGTGTTGAATATGGACGCAGCCACAAGTGTGTGGGCGGGTCTTCAGAAGAAACGAGGGAAACAGTTTTTAGTTTTTTACTCAAAAGAAAGTTACGTTATAGTTTGTGAATATATAATTAATCATTAGATAAAGGTCAACAGATACACACATGTGAAACTAGTGATTTAACCAAACTGTTAAACTATTTTGATATTGTTATTGACAATTGATTATTACTATTTTATTTGGTTGTTTGAAAACGATATTGAAATATTTATCACAAATGTGCAAACTTGGTTTTCCTGGAATTTTTTTACAGTTAATCAAAATTATAATCATCAAATGTAATAAAAAATTAAATAAAACTTTATCTTTTTTACACCACAGCTAACACGAATACTTTCATTTTCAAATGTATTTATTTTAACCGTCCCCAATATTCAGAACGTTTTTTTGTCCCCAATTCACCAAACTATTCACTAAGAAGCACTAACTCCCTCAACTTTTCTGTTCCGAATCCATAAAGAAGTTGGAAGAAGAGCTTTTTCAGCTTACCCACATAAGATCCTCAACCTCCTTTGGCTTTTTAAAATTGGAAATATCTTGATATCTTATCACTCCCTGTTCATGTTACTAGCAGTTTTCTTTTATTATTATTTTGTAATATATGGATGTATATTTTAAGTTGTCTTATTCTACCATCTGCTGTATGTATGGCCTGTATTTGACTATATTGTACACAGAAATGATGTATATGTTTTTTGAATGTGTTATTATAGCAGGAGGAGGAGTGGGATCTGAGGGAGAAAACCTGTGTGTGTTAAATGTATAAATGTTAATTGTTTGTCTCGTGCTCTATCATATGTATTGTGTTTGTTTTGTGTTCATGGGACCCTCTCGAAAATGAGATGCTGCGTCTCAAGGGTTTTCCCGAAATAAATCAAATCAAATAAACATGAGAAGATATAACATTAACGGTCACAAGGGTTAAGATAAAAGGAAGCATTCTACTTTTCCAATGGCCCTTTATTTAACAAGAAAGTAAAGCATTCAGACCATTTAACTCCTCGTAGTGTCCATATAATACTGTAGTCCATACGTTTTTAACACACACTTTTAGTCGAAGCTTCTGCAGCGCTGCATGATGCATTTCTATCTGGACAGCGTTTGATCTCAAAGTGGGGGAAAAAATAACATTTCAGTGGAATTATAAGATAAACCTTTATTAGTCTCACAGTGGAGACATTTTATTTTCAAGTAAACACACATAAATGTAACACTGAAAGGAAAGGAACGCAATAATTTAACTGGATTAGTTTCACCAGCAGCAAAAGAGACCAATGTTTACATATAGCTTGGGGAGTGAGAAACAGGACTCAAAAACTTAACACAAATTCCAATAAAAATGTTACCATGTTTTCCATAATGTGAATATTAGACAAAAAACAAGCATCTGTTTGTGACTGTTTACATTGACAAAACAAAAACATCTCCTCGAATGTTGTACGTAGATTGAGATACACCCACGCACAGGAAGCCCGACCTCTGTGCGCGGCTCAAAGCAGCAGGGTTCCCGTTGCTTAAAGAACTTTTCTATCTTTTCCACCCATTTGATGATCTCAGAATGTAACGTCCGTCTAGCACCAGATGAAGCCGTTTCATTGTTAATTTTTGTCAACATCAAACATTTCATGCTTATTTTCAATGAGGCAATGCCCACAGTCGGGGTTTGTGACGTCCACAGACTGTATATTAGGAGTGGACTGACCCAGCGCTGTCATCCATAACGCGAGCCGAATGCGGAAGAAGCCAGTTTGAGTATAAACTAGCTGGAGCCAATCTCATTATTTATTATTCCAGATTGTTCTTTTTATATTTTAATCTTTTATATATGTGATTAATATTTTGAAAGAGATAGCCATACAATGCAAACAGCAGCATATGGACTGACTGTTTCTCAGCAATAAATGGTATAAAAATGTGTCATTTCTTTTAAATAGGTTGGAGAGCATTAAGTTAAGGGCCAACTTTTTTTTTAACTGCATGGTATATCGTATTGAATCGTATTAGCTAAAATTCTCCTGTATCGTATCGACAAGCTCTGAAAGATTCCCAGACCTATCCGTAAGTACACAATAAAATAAAAAAATAAAAAACAAAACAAGAAATGGTTCATAGATTGTCTGGAGTTACCGAGCTGTGTTTTGTCTGATTTAGTACTAACATTGGTTAATCTTGGTCTGTTCCCCTGTGAGCCGGGCAACATTTCCACACCAGGTTTTGTCCACACAGTCACACTATGCTATCACAGTACTTCAAACTATTAAGGCAAGAAAGAATGGCAAATAATGGCATTTAAAAACAGCTTATCTCCGAGTGCAGCTACTTAAGAAAACTGCTCAAATCATGCAAATAAATAGTTTTGGTTGAAAGAGGAAGACAAAAACAGTGGCATTTGAGCTATAGCCTGGTCAGCCAAGATACTACGACTTAAGACGTGAAATGTTGAAATGCATGAACTGCAATGGATAAAATAACATCCCTTTTTTGAAGGCGACAGAACGAGAGGTTTGGCTGGTCAGGCTTACACGTTGAACATTGGAAATTCTTATGGAGTTTCAGAAATTAAGAAAAATTCAATGTGAAAAAGCATTGCTAGTAATTAAACTGACTTATACAGAAGATTGTACAGTGTATGATTCGTATGGCGTTTGTGCCCAAAGTTTGATTATTTAAATTAAGGTAAGATTTACAAAATGTGCTTTTTCTAATGCAGAACCCACGCATGCATCTAATCTCAAGGCTATACAACTTAAGAATTTTGGCAACTATCATTTCTCAGCTTTGTAACTTGTAGTGTAAAGCCACCACCTGGTCTTACAACAGGCACTTTTGATTTTAGTGAGGCAACTGTGCGTGGTTTCAAAAGGACAACTGTTGCAATTCTACGCTTGCTATAAGGCAGACGGCTTGCTATGCTCATAACAAGAAGAATTTAAACATTTGGTCACTGGCTTGGGACCAAATATTCACAGCTACATAAACAAAAACACAGAATTAAATATTTTATAATAAGCAAATAAGTACAAGGCTGTAAAAAGGCACAATCTTTTACCTATTAAATGCACAGATGGCCGTATACGCCGGCGAGTAGCTTTACCAGTGTAACAGCCTTCACATACAAGACCCAAAAAAGCCCTTATCAGCAAAAGTGTAGCTTAAGGAGAGCGCTCGCCCTCCGCGTTTGTGACATTCAAGTCCGTTTTGCTGTTTAAACAACAAATAATGTAACGTTGTGTGAGGTAAAACTGCAGTCGATTGTTGATAGTGTGTTGTCGTTTTTTTGTTGTTGTTGTTTTGATAAAAAAAAGTCAAGTTTCAAAGTATTTGTAGATGGCTGTAACGTAGGTCATGACGCTCTGCCAGTCTGGGCGTTCCATGTTCACCATCTCATTAAGGTCCTGGAAAAGAGGGAAATGTATAGATTTAATCAGGATTAGAATCAGAATTGTGTCCATTCTCTTTTATAATTCAACTTGTGAAAAATGTGGAGCCAAATATATCTAATTGGCTCATTCACATGTGAGCTAGGGCTACTGCACCTCTATGAGTTTCTGCTCTAATTCTAAAAGCATTCTAAAATAAAAAATAATTAAAAGCATTATTTGTGTTCATTTTGGCCCTTTGTAAATGAACGTAATTTTTTATGCTTGCATTTCACATTTTAGGAAGTGAAAAAGCGATCATTTAATTGAATAAGATGTGTCCTTTAAAAAAATAAAATAATTGTTTTGGTAAAAATACAACAAAAATCCAGAGCACTTGATTCTACAGTAATTGTTTTTAAATAAGTGAGGGTCTGGATCTTTGCACCTTTTCATAAGGATTTGGGCAGCTAAAAAAAATAAATCAAGTAGCTGCTGAATAAAAATAAAAGAAAATATTGCGTATGCGAACAACAAACATGTGCTTAGCCATTTCCCATTGTAATTACAGATTTACTCATATCAATCTACATTTTTAAAACGCAATGGCAGCCATCTTTGATATCTGTGTCTGCACATATAAACGTGTCAGATACAAGTGTGTGTCAAAATGCAAAAGCCGAACGTTCAGGTTAAAAACACATTTCGTGCCACATCTTCCCCTTTTTGTATTGATCCTTTGCTGCAGAACACAGCGTGACTAAATAGACACAATAATTCACATAATGGCTATACCATAAAAGTAAAAGGTCAGACATCTGCTTTCCAAGACAATGACCCAGATTTACAAACACACAACAGTCACGCACACTCCAAAACAGACAGATTTACAAGCCAGAGGTTATAAATCTTACCAAAGTGCATTTGATTCCAACGCTCTCAGCAGCCTGGAAAGCTAATGTGAAGTTTCTCCTCTGCAAAGACATTTTATAGGTTAAAATACAACTAGTTTGCTGTTGATGAAGGTGAAATAACAGCTGGTTGATATAACATTACATTCATTTCTACAATATTCCATTTCATAACTCACCTTAAGACACATTTGTTTACACTGTGTACTGTGTTACATGATGCATGCTTCTGTGTACATGTTTTTTAATTGGCTTGTATACGTACGGTTTTATCACATGTTTTTAAAAGTGAAGCGCTTTGTGATCCTGGTCTGTGACAGGTGCTATACACATAAACTCCGGTCCACATTATGGAATAACTCACTAAACACAAGATGAGGATGATTGACAGACGGAGGATGGTTTGTTTACAGATCCAGAAAGTGGCAACGAACGCAAAGCCAGCTCCCTCCATTGCACAAACAACAGTAATCGTTCAACACCATTGTCTTTCTTGCTTCTTCTTCTTCTATTTCTACAGCCCATTGTACATTATCGGATATAATTGATAGGATTGGCACACGCATGTATACGTTTAAGCCTAGCATATAGAGTAACAACTAGTTGCAAGGCGGCTTTTGGCAACTGAGAGTAGATGATGGGTCGATGTGAGCGCTCTTATAACTGGAGATAAACAGTCGATCTCCGGATTCAGTCAGTTGCCCGTGTTCTACTTTTCAGCAACTAGTTGTTCTCAGATCCGGAGATATCACTCGATGTGCGCGCTCCAACAACATGTGTTGAGAGTGTCATCATGTGACGTATAGCGCCCTCTACAGTTTATGTCAGAAAACACACTGTAGTTGAGGCCAGTTGCTGTAGATGTACGCGCTGTTATTCCCGAGACTGGCCTGCTACTCAGATTGTCGATGTGTGCGGGGCAGCAACTCATAGGTGACGGATGTAATCAGTTGCCAGTCCGATTGATATTGGAATGTAACTTAAGTTATCATTTTGGTAAATCATATGTGGCTATGTGCTGAATGCTCTGTATTGTAATTCACTTTAGCTCCAGGAAGACACCGGGAGGTCTGGGGAGCTCATATGCTAAGTGTCTTATGTTGTGTTGGTTTCTTCCTTTCCCATCTGCATACGAAGGTGTGTCTTGCTCTACCAAAAGGGGCTTGTAGACTGTGAATCTTCAGACTTGTCCTGAGAGAGGCTAGGGTCTGTGCCTTGCCTCTGTCAGGACATTCTCCTTGTGCAATGTAACAAGTAAAAGATTAACTTTGTCTCTTTGTTGTGTGAGATTTCATCAGGTTCAACTGTAGATGAAACAGCATTATCACCGATGTACGCTAGGAATTATATAGCGCGCAATGAATACATAATACATTTTAGGATAGGATAAACTTCATTAATCCCAAAGGAAATTACAGAAATGGACTATTTTAAAACAAGAATAGCCAATGGGACATGCAGTTTAGTCCACCAAGGATGTTACTTGCCAAGTCTAGTCCAGGTCCAACTAATTAATGATATTTTGTTCTGAGTATGTTGGCTGAAAGCTCCGTATTAAAGAGACAAATGTGTGTATTCATCCCTCGTCAGTGAAATCAGATCATGATTCTGAACATGGCCCAGGTCTGAGTGGAGTACTGGACTTGCCTTGTCCTGGCCGCTGAGCTCCTGGTAGGGGATGTGAGCGGGCAGATAGGTGTGGAGCACTGCACAAAAGGCCAAACCGTCGTTCCAACTGCTGCTGAAGTTTGTGATGTCGATGTTCTGGATAAATGAAGCAAAAATAAATAAATTACAAACCACAAATAACTGTTCATCACAATGACCACTTTTTAGATTCTGTTCACGATAATGTTCTTTCTCAGTCTAAATATTCAGGTAGGGTTGCAGCAATCTCTTTCTGTATTTAAATAACAGTTTAAAATAGTCATTCCACTAAAACATCATAGATTTGACTCAAAATCTTGGTCTTAAGGATTGATGAAGTTTGTGTTACTTCCAAATTGCTGCAGATATGACATACACTGTAGATAAACATGGCTACCGTAGCAACCACAATGTAAATAAGGATCAACAATGTCGAACGAATGTCTAAACCACTCTCTCTCATAATCATCTCTTTGATAATGTACGTTGTGATTAAATTTATGGTTTCATTCATGAAGTGTGTATTACAAAACCAATTGGTCTGGCCTAAACCAGGGGTCTCTGAAAAAACGTTGATAAAAAAAGTTTATCAAAAAGACTAAAAGACTAATAACATGGACTGTTTCATCTTTAAGCCAAATAGATTAGATACCAGGGCCCCTCTTTGGACACCTCTGGTCCAAACCGTCAGAATGACTTTTCTTGTGCATAACTTGTCTTTGAATTTGATGGAAAAGGTTCAGAGATTCCATTTCAGAACACAATGTATATTTTTAACACTTTTTAAACAGACAGTTCCCAGACTATAATCTGAAGTTAGCAAGATTACTATTGCACAGCTCACGTCCCCTTATCACACACACAAACATCACAAATTCAATGTTTTTAATACTATTCAATTTTCACCCCAAACCCAGTGATTTAGAAGGTTTGGGCTCCACTGAAACCTTTCATTCATTCATTCATTCATTTTCAAGCCCTTTTATTGTCCATTTCTGGGTCAGGGGGGTGGCAACGAGAGCTGCCACCCAATGCTCATAGCACCATAGCACCAGCTGAGTGAGAGTCATCGATTGAAGGAAATAAGGCAATGGATGAGATAATATTGGTCAAGAGAAGAGAGAGACAAATGTATAAAAGTACATTCCCTCATTAGTCCTGAGTCGGTTCAATACTTCATTACTGGTCAGTCATTGGGCACGTGCAAAATGATCCCCACGGGTCAATACTGGGACCCACTCTATTCATAATGTACATGCATTAAAGGGAACGTCCCATTAAGGTTTCCAGGACATAGGTAGATCTAACAAGTATCTGTTGTAGATAGAGCTAAGCTTTGCAAATAAACTGTTTAAACTTTACTCCTGAACTAGCCTGGTTGTACCACACCATAGTACAAATTACATTTCATACTAAGATCTGGAGGTGCTCCATTGAGCTCCGTGAACAGGTGGGAGGGGTTAACTCCTTTTGCAGATTGAAACGATTGGATCTGAGTTTACCGTGACGTATGTAGTGCGCCCGAGTGTGTTGTTAGCATTTAGCATTTAGTCTAGCCATCTCCTTTGCTGCTAACGGAGCCCGTGGGGAGTAGCGCCACAATCTTGACCAGTGATTACATTTGCTAAACATTCCTCTTGCTCCTGCATCAATTTCTTGATAGAACCAGACCAGATTACTTTACTATCGCATTCTTCGGCATTGTCAAACTACAACCTGCCCGTTCGGCGCAAACTCTTGACGTCACCGGCACCGACCTACAACACCCGCCTTCCGCGCTCTCTGAGTAGCCGGTCGAAATACGACGTTGCATGCAGTGAGATGATGATTGAGCGGAGTGTACGGATGGCTATGGCCAGGCTACTCCTGAAACACTTCTGAACCATCTTCTCCCTGGCCCAGTGCCAAAATCCACACAGTCTTTACGCAACAGCTGATGTATAATGCATCCGGCTACAAAAGGAAAAATAACAGCCTCGACCTCACAAGACCCTGCAGCTGGTTATTGATGAGCTACAGCTCCACTCTAAAGCCGAGAAACTGGTGACGCAGACATCGAATTATCGCCATTGATAATGAATTTAGAAACCAATAAGAACACTTCCAGATTTAGCCAGCCCTTTAGGCACCGAAGTTCACATGAGCTCCTGATTCTACACCGCGATCTGGCTTCCCACTATTTGGCTAATTTACATTATTTATTTATGTCATTTATTTTAGTAGTCTTCTCTGTCTTGTCTGTTTCACATCAAATATCTGAGAAAACCCAGGGGTCCTTCCTCACTCCCCAGAACGTCCCTCACCCTTCACTCTCCCACACCTGCCTGAACTGGGCTTGCATTGTTGCAGCCAACGCATACAATATTTGATGGAAAATAATCAGCTACTTCTTATAAATGTATTCAAAAACTGCGGCCTATTTACAAATGCTGCCAATGTATGTATTTTTTTATTTTGTTAGAGCTCCCCCTGGAGTGTAGGAAGAACATCAGAATGCAGATGTCTGATCTAATCTATTTTGATGTTGGAACAATGCTCATAACTGCTGTTCAGAATCTCAAATGTGTACAGGAATTGAGATTTTTCATGTTGAAACAAGAAGTTCTGAATAATAGTTATATCATAATAACATCCTTACTGCACAGTGGACTTGGAAGAAATAAAGATGGTTTAGTGTTTAAATGATGAGATTTTACCTGATATCCCTCAGTTTTCTTCTGGCACCACTTTAACAAAGCGTTTCTCTTTGAGCCTCCATATTCACGAGCCAAAGCAGAAAGTGGGTCTTTTCTCTCCTCCCTAGAAATACAAATAAAACATGTAACACATTTTTGGTCCGTTTCATGGCAGAAAGCTTCACGAGCATTTACAGGACTTGCTGGATTACAAGCCACTACTTTCTTCAACTTCTGTTAAACTGACGCTTATAGAAATGCAGCCATTGTATGTATTTGTATTTTGTTAGCGTGCCGACAGAACACAGGAGTGGATTTGGACACAGCTTCTTCAGCTGCAGATTTCCATTCTTGCTTCTCGATGGGTTTATGTGAATTGAGGGAGAGTTTATTGTACAAAAATAGCACTTATAAATTATAATATTCTTTTATAGTGCTTTTTTGGACACTCAAAAAGGTGCATTACATGGAAGTATCGCCTAACTCATCCACAGTGGTGATAAGTTACTACAGTAGCCACAGCTGTCCTGGGGACTACTGACAGTGTTGATATTGTGACATTATAAAAATCACAGAACACCTTAAAAGAATGAACCTTAAGAGAATTTCCCCAAATTTTTGGAAAAGAACCGCCCTCTCCAGTTTTTTAACAAAACTCTCTAGTCTTATTTGACGAGCACGTATCACCAGAATGATTGACAATTAGGAGGCGTTTTGATGATCCACCCGGAAGTGGAAAATCCTCCTAAATACCTTTAATACTGGTTTATTGCCCCATTCATAGTAGTCGGCGTGGTAGTGGTGGTAGTAGCTGTTGTTGTTTTCTACCTGAGGCGGCTGCGTGCAGTCGGGGTAACAGAGGCTGTGGGAGACGAGGACATGGACAGAGGAGAGGAGGTCATTAGGCCAGCAGAGGGCGCTACGTCTGGAGCAGAAATGTCCCTCTTGATCTCCTCACTGCTTCTTCTGGAAACTATGGCAGAAATCAGGATTTAAATACAGTATATTTTGAATTTGAAAAATAAAATAAAATCATTATCATTTCTATAAATAGCATAAACAATAGATAACTAACAAATAAATCTGATTTTTTAAAGGTGCACTTTGTCGACTGGACTGAAGCAGTGGGCAATTGTTTTGTGGTTTCACATCACAAGTGAACTTCTGTTAAATCGGTTCACAAATTTTAACAAAAAAACTTTCATGGAATTTTACCATGTTTAAATAAATCATTTAAAAATATGATCAAATATTTAGCTTTTCCAAACAATTTACCGAATGTATAATTATTTATAATATCATTTAAAATGTATTGTAGTTTTGAATGGTGAATATTGTCAGGAGGCAATTCAAACATTTTTTATTTCCTTTTCATTAGCAAATTGATCCATTACAGCTGCAGCTGCAGCTGGTATATTGGTGAACAAATGTTTAGAAAAAGGGGGATATACAGTACAGACCAAAAGTTTGGACACACCTTCTCAATCAAAGAGTTTTTTTCATTTTCATGATTATGAAAATTGTAGATTTACAATGGCATCAAAACAATGAGATACCTCATGTAGAATTATCTACGTACAAAAAAAAAAGTATGAAACAACTTAAAATATGTCTTATATTCTGGGTTCTTCAAAGTACCTTTTGCTCTGATTACTGCTTCACAAACTCTCTTGATGAGCTTCAAGAGCTATTGACCTGAAATGGTCTCCAACAGTCTTGAAGGAGTTCCCAGAAATGCTTAGCACTTGTTGGCCCTTTCACTTTCACTCTGTGGTCTAGCTCACCCCAAAACCATCTGGACTGGGTTCAGGTCCGGTGACTGTGGAGGCCAGCTCATCTGGCCCAGCACCATACTCTCCTTATTGGACAAACAGCCCTTACACAGCCTGGTGTGAATCTACAGTCAATAGTCATGAAAAGAAAAGAAACTCATTGAATGAGAAAGTGTGTCCAAACTTTTGGTCTGTTCTGTTTATATAGAGGACTTTACTAAATGTACAAATATGTTGAGTGTGTTGTTTCTCCCTTTAACTGTATGTATTTGAATTTCACTTGGCACTTCCTGTATCGATGGTAAAGTTAATGTCTAACCTGAGATTGATTTGGCAGGGTCGATGCTTGTGACTCTCTGTAGAGCGGATTGAGGCCGGGCGACTGCGGCTCCTCTGAACGAGTGGTCAGCTGTGGACACAAGCACTGACATCATCCACGGCTCTTTTAGAAAAACACCAGATAAGGGACGTCCTCAAAAAATCGCACATGCGGGGTTGAGAGAGGGGCCACATTCCAGGCTAAGACGGACGCACAGGGCCCCACTCCCCGACACAGAAACAATAAATTAAAGAGCAGAATAAACTGAACCCTCGGAGGCTACGGCCCAGTGCGCACGTTCGCACACGGCTCTTGAACTGCGTGGAGACTCGGGACGCACGCTGCATCCGGCTCACTGACCGACTAAACGAAGGCCTAAACTAAGACATGAACAGAAGAGTAATCCCTTCACAAATTTCATCATCATAACTATAGTCCTTGTATTCTACATTATCCTTATTATTATTCATGTTTGCAATAGGTTTAATTCAAGCTAAATTTAAATGGTGCATTGTGTAACTTTTTACGGGGATTTTTGTGTGTGCATATTTGACCTTGTAGTGATGGCTGTATGAGAGGCCAGCATTGATCAGGGTTGTGTCTGAAGCACTCGAGGGTCAAAGGTTCTATAGGTTTTATGGAGCAGAGAAAACCTACCAAACAATAGATTCTACAGCATCTTAGAGACCGCTGTGATGGAAAAGTTTGAACATCCAAACAATAAAACAAGGGAAAGTGAGTGTGTCCTCGTAAGTTCACAGATGTGTGACTTTATGAGAACTGATTCTGAAGTGCAGCAAATTCAGAGGACCAACATGTGTGAGGTCTGAGTTTACACTGTATAACTAATCAATGACTCATTCGTTTCACTTCACCAATTACAAGCCGTTACAGCTTTAGTACATACAGTAAATCAAATGTTATTAAAAAAATGAAAGACTTTTTCTTACATTGCATGGAGATGTCCGTGTAAGTGTTCCTCTTGTCATTCATCGAAGACAGTGGTTTGGCCGCTGACATAGAGGAGGTCAGTGAGTGTCTCTGTCCAAGGAGAAAGTTTGTGTTATAAATGTACTCGAGATGAAGTCCAACACTATTTGATTATTATCGGTAAATAATATAATATGTATTTTGGCGTCGACATTCATGGGTTGTGTTAATGTCACATCACAACATCCCAAAAGAGGATATTGTTCAGTGGTGTGGGGCAGCTGAAAAGATAGAGTTCATGTCTTTGTAAATCCTGGGCCAATTCACTGGAAATAAAAGATCTCAAGAAGTGGTGACAATGTTCAAAATCATACGTCTTTTCTACTATTCTTTCTACTATGAAAGGATGATCTAGGTTGGAAAACATATGGCCATATTTTTTTCTTTCAAAAATCTCTTCTATCACAGAGTTTTATTGGCACATGCCCCCTGACTAAACAGAATTCTAAACCATTGCAAAAGTTGACAGCCAAAAAATAGTCAGGGATTTCTCAACTGATTTAGACTAATGTTGGTGTTCTGAGTCCGAATATCACATGCATTTTGCTCTATCAGGTCAACTTTTTGAGATACAGCCATCGTGTTACGGATTATGTACGTCTACGTTATTATGAATTCTGCTTATCAAATTTGATGGAGTAAATAAAAACTGAATGACTTTGGATACGTTGACTTTTATTTCTTGAGTAAAATGGAAAAAACGTCAAGGGTTTCTCAGCTGATGACCCGCAGAAATTTGTTATTTACGCAAAATCGATTTAAAAAAATATTTTTGTAGCAAAAAATCCTGACCTGATTGAGCAAAACCAAGGTCATTTTCGGACTCAGAGCATCAAAATTAGTCCAATTCAGCTGAAAAACCCTGGACTATTTTCAAGTGCATGTATTAGTATTGCATAAAAATGGACACTGGGAAACCGTCCGGCGCCTCAGGAGGGGGAAGCAGTTCTTTGCCAACACCGTGTATGGTGCGGGTGGAGGGCTGCTGACCTCGACTGGGGATATTGTCGGGCGGTGGAAGGAATACTTCGAGGTTCTCCTCAATCCCCCCGTCACGTCCCCCGTCCAGGAGGCAGAGGCTGAGGATGTTGGGGCGGATACTTCCATCTCCCTGGCCGAGGTCACCAAGGTGGTTGGCAGCCTCCATGGTGGCAAGGCGCCGGGAGTGGATGAGATCCGTCCTGACTATCTAAAGTCTCTGGATGTTGTAGGACTGTCTTGGCTGACACGTCTCTGCAACATCGCGTGGCGATCGGGGGCGGTGCCAATGGAGTGGCAGACCGGGGTGGTGTGGTCCCTCTCTACAAGAAGGGGGACCGGAGGGTGTGTTCCAATTATCGTGGGATCACACTCCTCAGCCTCCCCGGTAAGGTCTACTCCAAGGTACTGGAGAGGAGGCTTCGTCCGATGGTCGAATCTCGGATTCAGGAGGAGCAGTGTGGTTTTCGTCCCGGTCGCGGAACACTGGACCAGCTCTATACTCTCCATCGGATACTCGAGGGTTCATGGGAGTTCGCCCAACCTGTCCACATGTGCTTTGTGGATTTGGAGAAGGCGTTCGACCGCGTTCCCCGGGGTGTCCTTTGGGGGGTCCTCCGGGAGTACGGGGTCCGGGGTCCTCTGCTGAGGGCTGTTCGGTCCCTGTATGACCGGAGCCAGAGCTGTGTTCGCATTGCTGGCAGTAAGTCAGACCTGTTCCCGGTGCATGTTGGCCTCCGCCAAGGCTGCCCTTTGTCACCGGTTCTGTTCACTGTATTTATGGACAGAATCTCTAGGCGCAGCCAGGGGCCGGAGGGGGTCCGGTTCGGGAACCACAGGATTTCATCTCTACTTTTTGCGGATGATGTCGTCCTGCTGGCTCCAACGAACCAGGACCTGCAACATGCACTGGGACGGTTTGCAGCCGAGTGTGAAGCGGCTGGGATGAGAATCAGCACCTCCAAATCCGAGGCCATGGTGCTTGACCGGAAAAAGGTGCCTTGCCCTCTCCAGGTGGGTGGAGAGGTCCTTCCTCAAGTGGAGGAGTTCAAGTATCTCGGGGTCTTGTTCACGAGTGAGGGAAGAATGGAGCGTGAGATTGACAGGCGGATCGGTGCAGCGTGCGCAGTGATGCGGTCTCTGTATCGGACCGTTGTGGTAAAGAGGGAGCTGAGCCGAAAGGCAAAGCTCTCAATTTACCGGTCAATCTTCGTTCCCTCCCTCACCTATGGTCATGAGCTGTGGGTAATGACCGAAAGAACGAGATCGCGGATACAAGCGGTCGAAATGAGCTTCCTCCGCAGAGTGGCTGGGCGCTCCCTTAGAGATAGGGTGAGGAGCTCGGTCACACGGGAGGAGCTCGGAGTAGAGCCGCTGCTTCTCCACGTCGAGAGGAACCAGTTGAGGTGGCTCGGGCATCTGTTCAGGATGCCTCCTGGACGCCTTCCTGGGGAGGTGTTCCGGGCACGTCCCACCGGGAGGAGGCCCCGGGGAAGACCCAGGACACGCTGGAGAGACTATGTCTCTCAGCTGGCCTGGGAACGCCTAGGGGTCCCCCCGGACGAGCTTGAGGAGGTGTGTGTGGATAGGGAAGTCTGGGCGTCTCTGCTTAGACTGCTGCCCCCGCGACCCGGCAACGGATAAAGCGGAAGAAAATGGATGGATGGATGGATGGATGGACACTGGGAATAGGAGCAAATATCCGATATGTTGTAGTTTTTGTGAAAAGGCGTTGGGATTGTGTTTGAGCTTTCTGATATTTCCTTGGATAGAGCCAAAACCTCCAGTTATGTTTTGATTTTGCCACATGATTAAAAGCTTAAATAAGGTGATTTTGCCAAACATGTGTCCCAGTCCCTCAATATTTACTTGTATGGGAGAGATGGCAGCAGCAGGCGGGGTCTTTAGAGGGCTGGGACTGAGGGGAGTCCGGGGGAGAGGGGCAGCTGCTGCAGTGGGGGTGACCGGAGCTCCATTGGGGGACGGACCTACCGCACAGACGATACTCTGATCTGTCGAGAAGCAGATTACAAAATGTCAAATATTTAACATTGAGGGATAAACAAAACGCATGTAAACCCAAACATGCTCGATTTCATATTTATTTATTTATTTTATAAGGGTTTTCTAATCTGATTAGTCTAAAATGTAACCCCATAAATAAAATACTACAGAGATAAGACGTGTAAGTGCACGGGAGAAAGCCAAAATATGCTGTTTTATCTTCCAGCTCACTCTGAATATTCCTGTGGTCCACAATATATTCAGTCAAATGCTTGCTCGTTCTGGCTGCACTCATTAAATTACTTCAATTAAATATGTTCAAAAATCAGAGGATCAAAGTAAAAAAAAAAAAAAGTGTGCTTATATGGGATGCAGAAAAGCAATTATATTCACAATTACAGTTCTAAAGTTTAAATGCTAAAGTTACAAGAGCCTCCTATACGTGATGAGGCAAAAGCGTGTTTGGGTTTGATCAGCTGGAGTTTTCTTTTATATCTCCAAATCACAAGCTCTACTGGCTGTGAATAGTTCAAAATTTTGACTTTGGATGAGCTGGAGGAAGTGTGTGTGGATAGGGAAGTCTGGGCGTCTCTGCTTAGACTGCTGCCCCCGCGACCCGGCAACGGATGAAGCGGAAGAAAATGGATGGATGGATGGACTTTGGATTAAATTGATTTTTTTTTTCTCCATAAAACTAATACAATAATAATTTTCTGCCATTTGCAAAGCACCTCTGAATGCAGGCTTTGCCATTTGCGGCTTGACATAACTTGACTAATCTGGTTGCTCCTGTTAGAAATGTAAGTATGTTTAATTTATAAATGTAGCCGAGACCTTGTGAGGCGTTGTCGAAGCTCTTGATGAGCGTTTTGACGGTGGGAGAAGGTTCTGAGGAGGTGGAGGATCTTCTGCTGAGGCCCATTCCCTGACGCAGAGCAGCCAGGTCCCTCTCCACCGCGTTCATGTAGTTGTACACGCGACCACGCTCCTCGTCCTGCCTGCGAGAAAGACATCCATTATTAGGACTAGTATGGTTCTTTCACAAGCTGGTTATGACAACAGCATGCACAAGTCAGTACTTTTCCACTTCATGTTTTGGTGATCCGAAGTTTTATTTATTAGCCGGAAAAAGTGCGGAGAATACAGGAGGGAAGAACTCTCTCGTTGCATTTCAAAAGAGAAAACAGAAGTCAAATTCCAACGTTCATTTACAGTGATGTCTGCCGTTCATGACAAATAATATGAACTAATTCACGTTCAAGTTCTTTACTGAAAAATGTGTTGCGTTCAGTTCGACGTTCACGCACAAAACTGGTATTAGCAAAATGGGAGCTTCCATATTTTCACCTGGGAATTATTAAATAGTAAAAAATGTAGTGGTCTGAACGTGATGACACCCCAGCTTTTTTATATAAAGGTAAACTAGATATACTACTGGGAACAGAAATAATATTTGGACAAAAAAGAGACAAACTGGTACTTAAATCAAACAAACTAAATCGACAAAGGCTACAAGTGTCTTTAAACACACATAGAATCACTCGGAACAGTGCACTTAAAAATAATTTTAATCTAAACGTGTTTGTAAAATTATAAAACCTAAGCATGTTGTTGAATTTATAAACTAAATATCTACATGTTTTTATCAGTCTTTTATCATTGCACTTATATTTGTGATTTTTAATATTGGTTTCAGAGCGATTCATGCAGTCATTTATAATCATTTCTTTCTAATTTAATTTTATAATGATTTCTTTTAAATTTCAAACAGACTAAATACATTCATTTAATACATTTCTGTGACTCAGCGCCCCAATTCTTTTGTCACTGTATCTTACTTTCGGCTCTTGACCTCGTCCAGCTCTTTGCTCAGCTTGTCGTTCTTCTCCAGAGTCTCCTGTAGGCGGCGCCGCAGGTCCCCGATCTCCTCCTGAGCTTCTGACTTGATGTCGTTGGCGATGACCACGGCCGTCTGCAGATCTGCCTGGAACTGACGCCACTCCATGGACTCCTCCTGTTACAGACACGGAAAAGGGAACGAGCTGAGACCAAATCCAAGTACAAACACAACATTATCTGTGTTCATTGTGGCCCTTAAAGGGCCCATATCACGGTTTTTGACTTTTCTCTGCTTTAAACATGATTACAATGCTATTTGGCCTTCATACACAAACCCACAGTAGTTTATTCATTGATTCTGTCAATCTTTTGTAAGAGAACAATCTGTCTCCTTCCCCAGCGTGAGGCACAGAAACGCTCGGGTCCACTTCAATGACGAAAACCACACTGATGACGCGCATGACCCCGTTTGCTTTGTATTTAAAATAGTTGTTAAATACTTTTGTCAAAACGGGGTAAACAATACACAATTAGTATGCTGTTTTTTGTTAAAAATAATAAAAATAAAAATAAATTAAAAGCCGGCGGGAGGTGATTGACGGATCAAAACAGCGAATCAGAGCGCACAGGCTCCGGCTCCCGAGTCCAGCGTCTGTGGTCTGGTCTCGCGGACACCACATAGAGCTGCTGTTTTTTTGCTTTTGTCAGCAACTAAAAGTGTTAGGATCACGTCAACTTGAATGAAGTGTGTTATGGGTGTAAATATGTGACACACTATTTGGCCCTAAGAGGAAGAAAGCGGCTAGACTTTTTTCATCTGTTCATCTCATGGATCTATTATAATACCGGTTCATCTGCAACACTTCACTGAGACTGTTCCAGAACTACAGGGACAATGGAACTGGACTTACTCAAAAGCTGAAACACGTTATTCCCACGGTAAAAGACGTAACTCGGACCCCCTCGATCTGTAAGTAGTGACGCTAACTCGCTGTATACTTCTGTAAACTAAATAACTAGGGTCTGATTGTGCATCGAGGACATAGGGCTCGATGTGACGGATTGTCATTGTTGGAAAAAGTTTATTCTTATGTATGAAATTACTAAGTACAGGTGATAAACGACAAGAGCGTGATGCTACGTCACCGTGCGGGCAGCGGGAGGCGGGCTCACAGGCAGAGGAGCAGACTCTTCTCTGGATCAGCTTGTTTGAGTCGAGGTGACGTCACCTCTATACAAGAGATGGCTCTAATCTCACAAGCTTTGATTGTTGTGTGGTGTATCATACACATTAATATCACACATGTGCATAGGATTGAGTGTGAAACATGAAGAAAAGCGTGATATAGGACCTTTAAAGCTCGGGTACCATTTTTAAATTAACAATACATTAAGTTTATCTAAACCAGGGCTGTTAAACTAATTTTGGTTGAGGACCTGGTTGGGGGCCGAAAGTATAAAAGTAGATTTTGTTACATTTTGACACATTGAGTCAATTTATTTAGATTGGATATTCTTTTTCAGTAGATTTTGGAAAATAATATCCAATATCAAAATGAGCTCAGTTAAAGTGGATTGAACCAAACCTGAACCAATATAAAGAGAAAAATTCAACAATGTAACTTCTATTTACACGTCTGCTTAAAATGTCTAAATAGATTAAATAATATGGTTGTATTCTTCAGAACATTTGATTTTAAAAGTATAACACGCTATTGTAGCCGAATACCATTAATACTGTTTAGAGATTAAATGACACTTTGAAGCAATTGTGGTTAAAGTTCCAACTCATCATTCTAACATATGCACAAGCCAGTACTTTTCCACTGCATGTTTTGATTTCTGAAGGCCAAGCTACTCGCACTGTGCCAAAAGCTGATTGGAGGACTTCATTCCTCCATCACTTGCAGTCTGTAATATCTGTGTTCGTGCTGTCTCTACCAACAACAATAAAACATGTCTTCTGTCTGAATTAAAGACACGATCCCAGACTTTGTCATCTTCTTCAACTGCAACTTGATACAATAATTAAAAATAATTTGGGGCCACTGAAAATGGTTTTGGGGACCGGATTTGGCTCGTGGACCTGAGTTTGACTTTTCTGTCTGAAAGATGTGACATAGGACAAAAATACATAGAGAAAATATGATACATACAGAAAACTAGTGCTAGAACTTGAATGATTTTATAGCCAGGGACGAGTTAGATGTATTTTATTGCGAAGTTGAATTGTTTGCGGTTTGAAAAGCGTATCGAGCTTTGTGCATGTTGAGACTACTGTATATACTTTGTTATTCTACATTTTAGATAGTGAGAAACACATTTATAGCCGACCAAAGCACAATTCTCTTCTCTAAATCATAAACATATAGTGCATATCCTCTATATGTTAACTCAAACATACTTAGTAATCAGTTAGAAAGCATTGGTAGATATAATTTGTATCTTGTAGCTTGTGTTTTGTCTGCAAAGGATTTTTATGGAACATTTTCTCTTTAACATCAGCTGAATCTCTTCAACATGTGTTTAACTGTGTGTTTGGATTAGTCTTTGAATTTATTGCTGTAAAACTTCAACCCTTACCCTCAGCCGCCGATGGAGGATCTTGATCTCTCGTTCCATGTCGTGCTTTTGGTCCTGCAGCTTCTTCACGGAGTCTGGGAAAACCACAGATGTTAAGATTTATAACGGTGAGAAAAACGTGTAATAGAGCGAGGAAGCGGGCGCCAGAACCCGGACGTAAAATCCACTTTTCTATGAGGTTGTTTGTATTTCAGAAAAAGTCTTCTCTGTAACTAAGTCAGCTCAGACTGAAATCCACGACATGGTGATGGAGATCCATTGTTTCAGAAAAATACTGTTTAACTGCAAAATCTTCATCCGAGAACTACAAAACCCAGAATTCTTTAATCCCGTGAACAGGCTTACGATTGGTCGAGGTACGCATTCCTTCACATACTGCTTGCTACATATATTTTCTTAGGTTTGTTTTTTTGTTTTGCCAGATTCAGTGGTTCAATATGGGGAAACACTCCTAACGTTAGTGGGAAACTACATTCTACTTTTCTTGTTGTAAAATATTTTTTTTTGTTATGATTTTAAGTGGAACATCAGCAAAAAATCATGATATTATGCTTTTGCTTATCACCTGGATTTTCCACATTACATTATAATGATTTCAGGAACTGGAAGCCCATATATGGCCCCAAGAACAGGTATTGCCTTATATGTACTTACATTTCATAATTTTTTGACCATACATGTACTTCCTTCCTTACAGACCAAGGTAAGTCCCAGAGACTCTCAATTTGACTGAAGGAAATTGCCACAAAATTATAATTGTTTTGACAAGAAAACAGCTCTGTTCATGAGTTAAGTTGTTGAAACAAAAAGTCAAAAGAGCCATTTTTGATTATCTGTCACATTTTGTCCTTTAGCTGATCTCCATTCCTTGAGATCACTACTTCTTTGCCAAAACATTGCAAAAGCGTCTTGGTAAACCTGAACATTTTGACTCACTCTCGAGGTCTGTGATGATCAGATTGTCGTGCAGCTTGAGCGCCCGGTGTTGCTCCACCTCGTCCTCCAGCTCAAAGATAGTTTCCTTCATGTCGACGATCTCCGTGTCCTTCTCTTGGATTTCCATTCGCTGTTTCTCGATGGCTCGCTCCTGTTCCGACATTTGCTGTTGTGCCTGCTCCCGATACTCGCGGTACTCCTGGTCCAGCTACAACAGGAACACCACATTTCACTACAGCGCTGGAAGGGTTCATACATTAACGTGCTTGTCAATCAGAATTTGTACAGATTTTAAGTTGAGGTGCGGGAGGTGAGTATTTTATGACACTGTAATGATTACCTCAACAACAAAAAATAAGTATATTTTAGCAGTTAGAACAAGGCAACATGTATTTAAGTAATTTACAAGGAAACAAGCAGCATAAAAGTACAAAAAAAGGGAAAAAAAATCTTGGAGTAGGAATTGACTTGAAAAAGAAAATGTATCTAAAGCCTTTTTAAGCAAATTTTAAGTTGAAATTCTATGTCTTTTTCCTAAAACCATTGGAAAACTTTGAGGAACGCTCATTTGACATAATCTGTTTATCTTTTAGAGAAACGTATCCGTCATTATTATTTGTGTTTTAGTCCTTTTACGATCAAATTTAAATGTTTTACTTTTTACAGTATTGTTTTAGTATCCCCAGTGTATGAAAAGCGTTTATTTATTTATGGTGAATTGAAATCACAAAAAGGTGTTTTTCTAATTGGGTATTCACTTTTTTTACTCACTTGATAAATGTTCTTGCTTATATAATGTTCTATATAAATAAAGCAGAATGTAGAACTGAACTGTGACCCTAAAACATTTGCTCTACTTCTATTGAGGTCAGATGGCTCATTTTAGCTCATCTGCAGTTTTTCATCTGTACAGTTAATTAGCCTTGTTAAAAATACTCACATTATAACTGCTGCTCTAAGTACTACACCAATAACACAGGTTCAACTCGGGAAAATAAAATACTGTTAATTCATTTGTTATTGTTGTATTGGGGCAGTATAATTCTCGACTACAGCCTAAACCCCTTTCAGTCAGGCATTATTTAGCACTAAAATTCTTAAGACACATTTAAGTTTGTTTTTTTTGTCTTATTGTGAAATGTATCTGATCTTTGAAAACATGTGACCTGAGATCTAATGTACATAATGACTGAAGAAAATAAACTACTACAACTACTACTAATTCGAGTTAAAATGTGAAACTATAGACCCCTTACACAGTCATTTTCTGAGAGGTTTTGAAGAGTCCGTCATATATAAGTTTCACATTTTAAGTTGAATACGTTTTGAACGATTTTCGACATTCTCCTGTGTGACAAAACTAAAAGGCAGTGTGTTTTATAATGTGTTAGGACCTCTTCAAGAGCTGACTCCAACCGGATACACCCATTTCTCAATCAATGATCAAAACAAAATGATTAAAAAAAGACTTAAAATCAACCAGCAGTGTTTGTTCCTTTTAGCTTATTTATTTAATTTAATTTATTTTTGTACTTTATTATTTTCATCTTATTTTCTTTGTCATTCTCCTGTTTTGCAACAATTTCTTGATTTTTTTTTCTCCCTATAAATGAAAAATTAAACGTTCAGCAAGCACAAGAAAACACCACTTGTTTTATCATTTACACTCTCTGAAAAGAAGCCACGAAGAGTCTGAAAGCGTGAATTCTGCGAGAAGAGCAGGAGTTTGAATAAAAATAGCGGCGCACTGACCTTCCTCAGAGCCTCCTGAAGCGCGGCCAGTTCGTTGTGCACCTGCTCCAGTTCTTTGTGCATCTTCACCGCCTCGGCCTCCGCCTCCTCCCTGGCGTGGCGCGCTCCCTCCAGCAGCTGGCAGATGTCGTTCTTGTCTCCCGCCGTGTGGAGCGAGTACAGCTCTGCCACCCTCTGCCTCTCCTGCTCCAGCTGCCCTCGGCACCGGCTCAGCTCGGCCTGGTCGTCGCTCACCGCGGCCTTGTACTCGCCGAGCGCCGCCGCCATCGCCGCTCTGTCCTGCCTCTCAGACTCCAGAATCCTCTCTATTTGGTGGTTTCTCTCCTTCAACGCCCCGATCATCTCCTGCGCCTCAGCGTTATCCTGCTCGGCCATTTTCAACGTGTTGGAGAGATGTTGCTGGACGCCTAGGAGTTGCTCTCGCTCAAACCGCGCGTTGTCCGCTAAATCGCCGTAGCGTTGTTCTAGCTCCATGTAGCGCCCGCTTTTAATGTCCTCCTCTAAAGCGTACGATATGTGGTGCTCTTCTAAAAGTGAGCGGAGATACTCGATCTGTCTACCGTAGAGTTCCAGCTTGTCGCTTTGCTGACACAGCGAGTCCATGAGGATGATTTTCTCCTCGCCGAGGCGTTCGTTCTCGCCGTTCAGCTCCTGCGTTATCTGCTGGAGGTCGGCGAGTTCTTGCAGCGTGGCCTGTAGCTCCTCCGCTGTGCTGTGCTGGTTCTCCTCCATCTGGTGAATGCGCTCGGTCAGACAGGCCACAGACACTTCGCTGGTGTTGCCGCTGCTGCCGCGTCGTGAGCGGTCTCGGCTCGGTGCGCATTCCGATTCGGAGGACGACGACGCGCCCGACGGAGCGTCCAGGGCGTCATCGCTGGAGGTGACGGCCTGATAAACTTCACTGGATTCGCTGTCCAGGTTATCCGCGGAGCCACCGTGTTGTTGTCCGGTGAGGAGGTCCTCTAGCGAACCGGGGGCAGAGCCTTTAGGAGAAAAAACAAAGAATGATATGGGGTATGTTTATGTTCTGATGCCCTGCGCTACCGTTACTATAAATGCATAAACAACAGTATTTGATCTGTCCAGAAATGAGCTCCAAAAAAATGGTTTGGTTCAATCAGCCAAACAATACTAGTTACAACGTGGTTAACGAGGCTAGCTGCTAATGCTAATGTAACATTCTTCTCCTTTGTCAGCTTCAATAGTCAGAACAGCTGAAGTATTACACACAAAAATTATCCACCTTTTGTTTTTTTGTGGAAACACGTTCTGTGGGGACTGCTCTCATATAAAAGTGGATGAACTAAGAACAAGTAAATATTAATGTGCAACTAAAACATTATGAATGATGATTAGTAGTTTTTTGTTGAACCGTTTTGCGAACTTTTGCCAGTTACACTACGCCACAATACACTTCGGCCTAAACCATTTCAGTAAGAACTATGTTTTACGACAAAAACAAGAAAGTTAATGAATTATGTTTATGTTATTGGCTGAAACAAAATTACTACAACTACTGAAATTTCCCCACTATGGGACGAATTAACGGCTTAATGTTTTATTATACGATTATTTTTAATTTATGCACATATCAATCTCCAACTTGGTTTTCCTAATCGTGTTTTTAGCTTTCTGGTCTGTAACAAAGTTGTCAATCTCTTCTTGACTGTTAGGAGTTGTGTTTTCATCGTTATTTGCTGTTATTACTTCCTCTGGCTCATCAAAGTTGTCGCTCATTCTTTTTTTTTACCAAGGACAGATATCAAATTTGATACGCGCTGCAGACTAATTGTCATGGTAACGGTCCGAGATGGGAAAATATCAGACAGAAAATCAGCCAATCAGAGCGCGCGTACGATCCTGGTCATATAAAAAGGAATATCTCATCTTATCTTACTACACACTCAGTTTGTGAGTCTGCAGGACTGAGAGAGGTGTCAATGATCTTTCTATGGCTCACCTGTGCCTCCCCCATCGCTCTGCCCGCTCCCCGTCGCCAGGTCTGGACTGAGTGACGTATAGTTGAAAAGTTTCTCTCCATCCAGCCGCTGCTCCAGAGAAAACCCCAGTGCGTTCAGTCTGTCTTTGAGCATCCTGTTTTCACTTTTCAACAAGTTCAGCTCTTCTCTGATGGCGTGGTTTTGGTCTTGTAATAACAGCAGCGTAGACTCCACATCAGCAGCCGTGATCGCAGACACTATGGGCTTCTCCTCTTCTTCGGAAACCTCTTGAGGGATGTCTTTGTCCGCGGGATGAAGCTGTGCCCTCATGTCCCGTAACTCGCTTCTTAAATGTAAAATCTCCACATCTTTGCTTTTGGCCAAACCCAGGAGATCCTTCACCTTGGACTCCAGCTCCACCTTATCACTGATCTGCCCGTCGGACTTGGACTTGCTCATGCGGCTTTCAGATTCGGGCAGGACTTGACCCTTGGGGCGTTTTGTCCCGTCTCCGCTCGCCGACCCGGACACGAGCTGTTGTTTCTTGTTGGTGGAAGCCCGGGAAGTCCGCAGCCGGTCCCGCATGGAACTAGGCTCCTTGGACGTGGATGTTGTTGTGCGCTTGGTCGATGTGCCTGCTGGAGTCAAGGAAAAGGTACTTTAAAAAACAAGGATGCAAGGAAATATTACAGCTCAAATAATGTTCAGGGCATCTTTTCTACTGTTGTTTATTTTAAAATTGTTTTTCAATTATTTTGCTCCAAATTGTCTTTTCTGCGATGAAGGTTTCTGGAGATTCATAAGTGTGTGTTTCATCCAATGCCTTTTCAAAACGCCTTTGCCTTTATTATTTCGCACTATATGACTTGACTGCATTTGTCTCCCTTGTACTTATCTGTGCCATTGCCTGAAATAAATGAATACATGAAAGACATGTATGTATGTTATTTTGTTGTGTGGAATTACTTTCTCAATATGGGCTTTCCTGAGGTTTCTCATATTTTTACTTTAAGTGTTCCTTGCCGATGCTGTAGGGCCTAAGGACAGTAATGATCCAAGACATTTATGGACACCTATGCACATTTATTAACATGTATGAACATTGGTCATCCTGCTTAACCTTGCCTGCAAGCTGAATTCTCGCGGTATTCGTGAGTTCACAAACACTCGAGAATACATCTTGCACCGCTCCCATCAACCCTTTTCGAGTAGAACATCTAGGTGTTCAAGCCAATCACACGCCAGTCTGGGGATTTAGGGCGGGATATCCGGGTTTGACGAAAGCAAGAAGTGCCGGGCCAAAGCAAAACAAACATGGCTACGCAGGAGGACGGACGCGTAGCTGAGGCTATCAAGTCAGTTTTAGCAGAATCTCCAATTTATTTTTTGAAAGATGAACAGCGAGAGGCGCTTTGTGCATTTCTGGACGGCAACCTTGGTAGGCGGGCACACAGCGTCACTTCGCCCAATCAGCTTGAAGTATTCTGCTGCTTATCCCTCCTTTCCCCAAAAGGATTCTCCTGCAGAAGTCCCAGATTGATAGAGTTCTACACAATCATCAATCTGGCTCTTGCCAGGTTACATCCTGAATCAGAATCAGAATCAGAATCATTTTTATTGCCAACGTAAGTAACGGGAGGTCACAGACTTGGAAATTGCTTTGGCTCAGTGCAACAGTCAAAAAGAGATAATAAAAATAAGAATAAAAAACACTTCTAAAGAATAAATTTAAATTTAAAATAGAGTTACAGTTACTATTTACAATATACAAGTGCACATGGTGCACACAATGTAAGGTGACAGCAGTACAGTGAAGTAAAGTGACGTATGATGGGCAGTAAAGTGACTTTATAAAGGGCGGGGGGACAGGTTAAGAAGTGTTCAAGAGTCCAACAGCAGAGGGGAAGAAACTGTTCTTGTGGCGGGAGGTTCTAGTCCTGATGGACCGCAGCCTCCTGCCTGAGGGGAGTGGTTGGAATAGTCCATGTGCAGGGTGAGAGGGGTCGGCTGTGATACGACCAGCCCGGCCTCGAGCTCGGGCGACGTTCTGCTGCTACCCTATGGACCAATAGGGGGCGACAGTGGCTCAGTTGGTAGAGCATTGGCCTCTGAGCCCGAAGGTTGTGGGTTCGAGCCCACTGCGAGACCTTCTCCACTGACTTCCACTGATGTCTGCTGTCACTGTGTCCTTGGGCAAGACACTTAACCCACTTTGCCTGTAAGGAGCGCGGAAGTGATGTTTGCAGCTTGCCTTGATGTATATATGTATATGTGTTTGTGTACATGTATGTGTTTGTGTACATGTATGTGTACATGTATGTGTATGCATCAAACTGAAATTTCCCCATTGTGGGACGAATAAAGGACCTTCTTCTTATTAATATGCGTTTGTTATTATTGCATGTGTGTTTCAAGACCTACGACACATTGACTTATGGTTGTGATGGTGAGAAGCCCGTACCGGAGGTGGTCTTTGGTTTATCCGTGGTCCCGGTGGTGGTCCGTTTGGTCTTGGAGGCGGCAGCACTTGGAGCAGGGTTACCCCCCACCATCGCAGCTAAAAGGTCATCGTTGCTTTTTACCTGGAAAGAATGAACGACCTGCATTGAAGAACAGCCCCTTTGGTTTGTCACAGCAGCAGCAGAGGATGATGGTAAAGAAGATAAAGAGACATGTTGTGGTCTGAGGTGTTCAAAGAATCTTACTTTATGTTCAGACAAAGTTATTATGTATGAAAAAAAAGTTCGGTACCCAAGTTGAAAGAAGTAGATAAATATAACTAAAAGTGCATAAATCACTCAGGATTACTGGTTTAAGGATGGGGACCTAACTTTGATTTGGTTTCATTGATGCATATTGTGTTTGTCACATCTTATTGGACACATTGTCTTTTACATGCTGATTTTTCATTTCTTTCTGTCTCAAAAAAGAGGCCTGATCTAAAGAAGCCAAAGATACTGTACATACGTTGAAACTAATGAATGAAACAAACTCTTTTGAAAGCTACACTGTAAAAAGTGATGTGAGCACATTTTGACATTTAAAAGACACAAGAAATGTCTCCTGACAAATTTTGCAGTCAGAATGTACTCAAATAAAGATTAAAAAAACCACTTCATTCAAGCAATTATTACCTCATATCTAATCATTTTTTGCAGTGTAGTTCTATATTTCATGACTCCAGATTTAAATGTGAAGGGAAAGCATTATAACATGATTAGACGCACAAGTCTACAAATGAATAAGCTTCAGTCGACTCAGTATTCTAAGGGATTTCCGTGTTCACAATAGTACTGCCATTACCTTGGACAAGGTGGTGGTGTTTTTTGCAGCAGGCTTAGTGCTGGTCGTGGTTACGGCCCCGTCAGCCTTTCCTCTGTCAGCGCTTGCTTTAGTCGCCACGGGCCGCACTGACTTCTTCATGCTTAGACCTCCGACGCCACATTTAAAACCTGATCTGTGTAAAAAGAGGGGGAGGAAAAAAAAGAAAGTCATTTGCGTTTCAAGAGGTGAAAAGTTAAGAATGATGGAGATAGCTTTCCAAGAAAAGGAGAGATTCTTTCCACCGAACCAATTCCCGAAAGAGTGAGATCACATCGAGCAAATGAATAATGAAAAGCCGGGGGTTTCCTTCTCCAAAATGTGGAAGAAAGGAAGTTATGTTTATTCAAAGGGTTGAGACCAAACTTTTTAAACAACATAGAAACTACAGTCTATGTATTGTACATGTAAACACTTTTGGGACATTCATTCACTTTGGACACATTCTACTTTAATTCTGTGGCTGTTTCAAACCTGGCTGTTACACCACTGCGTTGTGCATCACACTTTGACAGTGGACACTTCTTACTTCCAGCAAAACAAACCAACCAATGCACTTGTGTATATTTTGTATATTCCTGTATATTCTTGTGGACCCCGCTCCCATCTCTGTGTGGAGTGAGAGGACAAGTGCCCAAAAAAAATAACAATTGTAAACTGCTTTGTGACTCTGGTCTGTGAAAGGCTGAATATAAAAAGATTATTTTATTTCACTTGTACTTATCTATCATCACAATATGAAAAAACATCTTTATTAAGTATTGTCTCACTTTTCTCTGATCTGAACCATCCATCCATCCATCCATCCATTTTCTTCCCCTTAATCCATTTCTGGGTCGGGGGGGTGGCCAGAGATGCCACCCAGTTCACAGAGCACCAGCCTCTCACTGATCCTCCTGCAGGTGGTGAGTCCACAGGAGCTGAGATCTTTCAGTGGGGGCTTCAGGCAAAGTGGGGGTAAGTGTCTTGCCTAAGGACACAACGACAGCAGTCATCAGTGGGAGTCGTGAAGTAGGTCTTACGGTGGGCTTGAACCCACGACCTTCAGGCTCAAAGGCCAATGCTCTACCAACTGAGCTACTGTCGCCCCTGATCTGAACCAGTATTTTCTCAATTTAATAGTGCATTATTGGCTGCTAACATCACAAATGTTGAGAAAGACTCCTGCTATCAAATAGAAACCAACCCAAGTTCACTGTTTCTGAAACCTGTAGAAGAAAATTAGTTAATAAATATAGTGAGAGGGTTTAAAAACAAAACATCGACGGACTACTGCGATTTGGACATGTGGACCTTAAAGAGTGTTTTTGCGGGTATTTCAAAGCCATTTAAACACATGTGTAATTTATCACTACAAACTGGACAATTTCCCCAACACATGAAAGTAGCCAAAGTAATTCCCCTGCTTAAATCTGGAGACAAACATATATTTACAACTCTCCAAAATCTTAGAAAACATTTTCAATTCCAGACTTGACAGCTTCATCAAAAAAAATAATACACTCTGTGACAATCAGTTTGGCTTTAGAAAAAACCACTCAACTTCACATGCACTGTTTGACATAACTGAAGAAATTACTAACGCTATAGACAATAAGAAAAACGCAATTTGACTATTTTTTGACCTCAGTAAAGCATTTGACACCATAAACCATGAACTATTAATTAAGAAGCTAGAACGCTATGGGATCAGGGGGGTGGCATTACAGTGGGTCAACAGTTATCTAAAAAACAGGAAGCAATATGTGAAACTGGGTGATTTTCAATCAAGCTGTTTAGAAATTGTGTGTGGTTTACCTCAGGGTTCCATTCTTGGTCCAAAATTGTTTAATCTGTACATAAATGACATTTTTAAAACATCTAAAATACTGAAATTCATCTTGTTTGCCGATGACACGAATATTGTTGCAACCGGTGATAATTTACATAAGCTATTTCAAACTGTTAATCTGGAACTCAAAAAAGTAAGTTATTGGTTCAAACAAAACAAGTTATCTCTAAATTTAAGTAAAAGTAAAATCATGATATTTGGCAAAGGTAATTCCAACACTCAGGAGATGATTCAGATAGAGGGTATTGTCTTAGAACAGGTGCAAGAAATCAAATTTCTTGGAGTTATAATAGACAACAGGCTAACTTGGAAACAACACATTAAACACATATCCACTAAAATATCAAAAAGTATCTCCGTAATAGCAAAAGCAAAGCAGTTTTTAAATTTCAAAGCTCTACGTACTTTATACTGTTCTCTGATTCTGCCATATCTGAGTTACTGCTCTGTGATCTGGGGAAACACTTACAAAAACACAGTCAAACCGTTAGTGATGCTACAAAAAAAGAGCCATTCGAATTATTCATAAAGTGGGTGTTCGAGATCATACAAACGCGTTATTTATAAATTCAAAGATTATGAAGTTTTATGATCTTATTGAGTTCCAGACTGTGCAGTTGATATATAAAGCAACAACCAACAACCAGAACCAACAACAAAATCTCGGAAGAGCATTAAATGATCTGACTTGGGAAAATCTTAATGCATGTGATGATACTGAAACATGCTCTGAACTATTTCTCGACAAAATTCATGAAGTTTGTAGGTCTTTTACAAAAACAATAAATCACAAAAAAAAGAAATCCAACTCTTTGCCATGGTTGAATTCAAATTGTCTGAAATCAATGAAAACAAGAGATCAGCTACTGAAAAATTCAATTAAGTCTGGGTTGACGACAGACAGACAAAAATATGTATCCATGAGAAATAGAGTAACATCAGAATTGCAAAGAGCTAAGGCAAATTTCTTCATTACTATCATGGAAAATGCAAATGGTAATGGGAAACAAATATGGCAGAATATCAATAAACTTTTAGTGAGGCAGACAAAGAAACATACAAATGACTTGGAATTGAAAATTAACAACCAGCTTGTAAAGGATCCCGCAATATTGGCAGAAGAGCTGAATGTATCGTTTTTACGCTCTGCTGATCAAATAGCTGCATGTTTTAAAACACTTGAATTATCTTACAACCCTGAAACAAACAATCAAACCTTTAAAATAAAATTAATATCTGAGGCTGAAATTGTAAATATTATAAGCACTATGAAAGACTCCAAAGCTAAAGACCATCATAGCTTTGATGTTGGATTTCTTAAAATGCATAAAATGTCCTTAGCACATCCAATTGTGCATGTTATTAATTTGTCGATTAAGCACTCCATTGTACCACAAACATGGAAGGTGGCCACAGTTACCCCCATTTTTAAATCAGGCGATAGAACTAATATAAATAATTACAGACCAATTAGCATACTGTCAGTTTTTTCAAAAGTTCTTGAGAAATGGGTTGCAAAGCAGTTAATTGAACATCTGCAAATGGGCCAAACTCCAGTTTGCACCCAATGCAATTTGGCTTTCGCGCACATCACTCAACTGAATCTGCCATAGCAATGTTTCTGGAAAAAGTCAAAAGTAGTCTGGATAAAAAAAACAATTATGTAGGAGCAGTTTTTCTTGACCTGAGAAAGGCGTTTGATGTAGTGAACCATAGTATACTATTGTCAAAGCTGAAAACTTTCAATTTCTCTGACCAAGCCTTAAAATGGATGTCTTCATACCTATCAAACAGAAAACAAGCTACTGTAGTCAATGGAAAGAAATCGTCTTTATTGCATTGTACACTAGGGGTCCCCCAAGGGTCCATCTTGGGACCTATTTTATTTTCACTGTTTATAAATGATTTACCTGATGTTTGTAAGGATGTAGACATTCAACTATACGCCGATGACGCGGTGATTTATACAACTGCAAAATCATCTGAGGAAGCAGCCCAAATTCTTACATCAGCCCTAACTCAAATCCAGCATTGGCTTACTCGATCATGTCTTCAGCTAAACGCACAGAAAACAGTCTGTATGTATTTCAAAAAAAAAACTTTAATATTGCCCGCTCCAATGTATATTTTGGAGAGCAAGAACTGCAATTAGTTCAAGAGTTTAAATATCTTGGTGTTTTGTTAGATTCTACGCTGTCCTTTAAAAATCATGTTAAAATGATATCAAAAATAATTAGATTTAATGTGTCCAACTTCAACCAAATACGCAGGTCAATGACTGATCAAGCTGCTATGATGTTTTTACATAGTATGATCTTTTCGCACGTAAGCTACTGTATAACTAGTTGGTCTCTGACAGGTGTAACGATTCTTAAACCAATTGAAAGACTTTATAAAAAGGCACTGAAAATCCTTGATAAAAAACCATTTGGTTACCACCATTGTAATATCCTCTCCAAATATAATTTATTGAGCTTTGAACATTTCATAACATTCAAAAACTGTTGTCTAATTTATAAAAGCTTACATGGGTTGGCTCCACCACCCCTAACAAGATATTTTAAATACAGAACAAGTGCCTCGAGAACAACTCGGTCCATGAGCAGAGGCGACTGTGAGGTTCCTGTGAGGAAAACCTCTTTTGGTCAAAATGTCCTGTCCTATAAAGGCAGTGTCCAGTGGAACAAACTACCAACCACTGTGAGGGAGGCAATCAGCTTCAAATCATTTAAAAATCTCTTGAAGGAATGGCTCAGATCAACACAAACCTGTCAACATAATCGATAACATTTTATGTAAAACGTACCTTAGGGCACCACAGCATTTTAGATAGGTATTTTAAAGAGAAAAAAAAAAAAAAAACGTAATGAAATTTTAGATTTTTATAAATCCGTAGCAATTAATGAATTAAGTCTTCCCCTGGGTTTGTGGAAGTGAACCGCCTTCGCTCCCATTTTCTGCCTCACCCTTCCCTGTCCTCCCTGTCCTCTGTCGTGTCCAGTCTTTTGTCATTGTATTTGCCTGAGATCCCTAATGTTCTTTGTACAGTATATTTGAATGTGTATCTTGTGGTCCCATTGTTCCTTGTCCTGCAGTCGTTCTGTTCCTGTACTGTCTTGTGACTTTCTTTTGTGTCATTGTTAAATGTTCAATGTGAAGTTTCACATCAGCCTGTCTAGGGACAACAGATGGAAATTAGCCTATGGCTAAAATCTGACATATTTACATATTTTATATGTTCATTAATATGTACTGTCCCTACTTAAATAAATAAATAAATAAATAAAAATATAAACATTTACCAAAACAAATACAGAAAAGGTTTCAAGAGCGAACTAGTTGTTACGAACTACGAGAAGAATTGAACTTGATGATACAGAAACATAGCTCAACACTGAAAAGTTTCAGCCCCACAGTTAATGGGGTTCAACTGTGGAATAATTTGGAGCGGGAGATGAAACATAGTCCAAACATTAATGTGTTCAAATTTAAATACAAACAAAAGACTTTCAATAAATATAAAGAGGAGGAAATTATATGTCACTAGGGGGCGCAATCGGGCTAAAATAAATTGGTGTTTGGTTTGGTTTTGTTTTTTTATTTCTATTTTATCAACTTCGTTTTGTTGCTTATTATAGTCATTATGATCTTTATTGACCTTGAAGAGTGATGTTGCTTTAAACAGTTGCCATTATTTGTCGTTAATATTGCTGTTATCGTCTGTTCTTTCTTGTTTATTTTTTTACATTTGCATAGTTGCTGTTCTATGTAAAGTGTGTATATTTTCATGTAGTGTTTTGGGGGTGGGCACCAATAAGCTTTTGCTTCGGCCCACTCCTTTTGAGCAGTACTTGTCTGCTCAAATAAACAAATAAATAAAAAAAATAAAAAAATAATTAAACTTTGCGTGTGCATCACAGAGCCTTAACGCTTGTTCATGGTTGTGTCTGCAGAGCTCCAGGATCCATTGTTCTGTAGGTTTTCTGGTGCAGGGGAGAAAAGCTTCCAAACCAGTGATCCATAAAATTGTAGAGACCATGCTGACCACTCATGCAGCCACTGGGGGAAAAACTGACACTTAAAAAGACAATAAAAGGTTCATAATGAGCCTATATCATAAAAAGTATGGGAAATAAACAATCATAATGTTGTCCTAATTATTTTACACTTTGAATTAGATTTACCTGAACAAGAACTACTCCTACCACATATAATTTTACTGTTTAAGTTAACCTGTGTACAGCTCCCCCTGTTGGACAAATGAAGCATTGTGGATCAAGCTGGCAAAAAATGTGCTTTATTTTGTTAAAGCAAACATCAAAATGCAAAGTTATCATTCAGGAAATCAAAGTTAATTACAAAATTCATTAAAATAATCACACAGCAAGAAAAACATAAAACTATGAAGTAGATTTATCTTTCAAAGAAAAGTGCAGATACAAAACCTTTTAGTTAACCACACAATTAAACACACCATCATAAAAACAACATTATCACACTTTTTTTGGGTCAATTAAATGAATGGAACAAATGACACCACACACAATGGATGTAAATATACTAGATGATAAAGAATCGGCAGTGCTCAATCGTATGCGCTACACAATTAAAGTTCCGATTTCTTTGAGGAAGATTTTTTCTTTGAGGAAGATTTTTTCTTTGTGGAAGATTTTTGCTTTTTGAAAACCCGTTGGTTTTCGTCTTTCTTCCAGGTCAGTTTGACGTCTCCCAGGTTGTTTGCTTTAAACTGTTCTTGCAGCTAAAGAAAATGGAGAACGTTCATTATTCCAAGTAAAGAAATGTACGTAAGGTGAAGGTAAATGTTATTGTCCTGCTGGAAATGTGAATTTTGGTTTAAAAATATTAATATTATATTGCATCTAATGTCCATATGTGTGCATCCCTATAGTGACGGGTTTATTGCCTTCATTTTCACTTCTGTGATCATGAGAAGCCTCTTCATAGTTTCACTGAAGGAAGAAGATTCTGAATTCTCCTGTTTTACTGTTGTCAAGTTTCAGAAAATATTCAAAGTCTTAACTACACAAACCTGTTGCAATATTTCAGAGCTGAAGTCGTTGGGATCCACTGGTGAGGACATTTTTATTTTCACCAAAGTCTTTTTTCTCTTTGGACCTGAAAAATGAAAAATGTGTGAAATATGCCAAGAATAAAACTGACATATTGTATTTTCAATTAGACTTAAATCAAGTGAAGAAAACCTTTTCTTTCTCCCATGACTTGAATTGTTGTTGCTTGTTCTCTTACCTTCTTCACAGATGAAGCTTTTCTTTAGTCCACAGTCGTCGCTCTCCCATCGGCCCTCGGCTCCCAGTGCTGCACATTTCTTTGTCAGTGGATTTATCGATGTGTGCGAATAATATGATATGTTGTTTAACGTATTTAAAAGTAAAAACTGGTTCCTCACCGTTGTAGCAGAAAAAACAGTCACGTGGATAATAACAGGGAGAATCATTCCAAAGGCCATCACTGTCCATTGTGCCACAGTTTTCAGGTTCTCTTTCATCATTAGGTTCCCCAGATCTCCACGGAGCATCTCCTTCCTTGTATCTGACTGGGGGCTGAGACCAGTGCCATTTCCTGTCTGTGAGTTTGTCACTGGTTTGATGAAGTCCGATCCAGGCGTCCGTGCGTCCGTTTGCAGCAGCCTTCAGGTTCTTCAGGTCCTTCATGTTGTTCACTGAGGCCAGGTCTGTGTGCTGCTCTCTGCAGTGACTCTGAGCCTCAGACCACGACATCTTCTTATCTATAAAGTGGTACTGAAGGTCCAGAGACACTGACCAACACAGGTGACCTACAGGGAGAAAACACAAACTAAAACATATCTTTACGAGTTCAAATGATGGGATTAAGACAGTTAGAAGATTAGACTTAGTCAAGCACTTTGGCTGAACTGTAAAGTTTTTAAAGTGCTATATAAATAAATCTGGTATGGTATGGCAAGTAAAATGTCTGAAAAATGTGTGATTAATCGTAAGTTAAGAACGACATTAATGTGATTAATTACAAAATAGTATTTTATTTGTTTGACAGCACTAAGATACATGTGTAGATATAATGAAGAGTAACTAAAACTCACTCAGCAGCACGGAGAGCAGCAACGTCTGATCCATCTTCTCCATCTCAAAAAAGTCTTCAGTATCAGGACAAAACCAGAACCAAACCCAGACTAAAGCAGGACTGAACCAGGACTGAACCAGGACTGAACCAGGACTGAACCAGGTCTAAACTAGTGAGGCATATCACTCGTCTTTAAAGCCTGCTCCCTCTGCTCTGCGTGTTGGATACACTTGTATTACAGAGAATTCTCTGGAAACACCTGAACACATGTCTCACCCAAATGAGTTTATGATTATTCAAATGTCAATGTCATGGACAAAGAGGCTACACAACTCCAACAAAAATGAGGTGTGACATGGATACAATGTTTTTTCAACTGTTCCTTGGAATCATTTTCATATTCAAAACTGAAGAAGAGACTATTTTTCACATACTAAATAATGTTTCAAGAATATATATATGAAAACGGATTACATTCATTATTGTTTTGACTATTTGCTCAAACTAGAAGGTCCGTCCTCTCATTATGACTGATGTGGACTTGGAGACATTTGTGAAGGAGGTCTGTATTAGAGGAAGTCTCTGCACAAAACATCTGTAAACAGAAGTGTGCAGACCTCAGTGTGGAGCGAGATTTTCAACATCAGTCGAGGGAAAATAGTCTTGTGAATAATTCTGGTGCATTTACAGTAATGTTTATGAATGTTCCTGTCAAACAAACACGTCTCTCTACCTTTACTTGACATTTATGAAAGTTCCTGTCCCACTGACCGAGGACACTGAACAATTCCAAACATATAGCTGTTTAGTTCATAATAACCCAAATTTAAATTCTCCTTGTTACCATAGTCAAATCAAGTGATACTTTGCGGCAGTCTCGGGCGGAGGTTTTGTGTAGCTGTCATAAACAGAGCTGCTTATCTACTTATTACCCAGCCCTATATGTTTATAACTTTGCAGTATTTATAAAAGGTGTTTTCTTGGACTGATATTGAAGCATTTACAGCTAGTTATGAACCAGAGCAGCTACTTATTTTGTATTTTTTGTGTGCTCCTGACCCAGAAATGGATTAAAGGGTAGAAAATGGATGGATGGATTGTGTGCTCCCTGTGTGCCCTTACTACTGTCCTGTATGTGTGCAGCAACATTGAAATTTCCCCACCGTGGGACGAATATAATCTTATCTTCAGGAGAGCTTGTAGAGTACTAGTTACATCTTTGATTCTGCGGACGTGGTAAGAGACTTTGCAGCCAAAACTCATTTCCAAAATGGTCGAATTGCACTGTAAAATACAAAATTATTCAGAGCCTGATTCATAAGGATGGGATAGATTGCACACAAGTGGAATCAGATCTAGTGAAATGTCTGCTTACTTTTAACTAAAAAGGACAGTATGTAATATACATCTACAGCTTTTATACGTGTTCCCAGATAATGGGTGGCAAGTCATATTTGCCCAAAGTTATTCTTAGTTACAAATTCAATGATGTCCACAATATTTATGTTTACAGTTTTCAGAGCAGAATGAGAAAAAACAACAATCATACATAACGCAGAGGTTGTACCATTTCTAGCTCAGCCCCAGCAGGTGGGTTGCATCAGTGCTTAGGAGCTACATGTGTCACAAGCAGGGGGATTCTGGCAACAAAAGGTGGATCGTAACTGTACTGACTTTTAGACCACTGAGAGCATATTATGTACTGTCCCTTTAAATTAATGGAGGGAGGTTGCTTTGTCTAAGAAGCTGTTGCCAAAAGCAGCGCTACAATGACAGAAAAGATATGATTTAAAATAATATATTGTGAGGTCAAAATTAGAGAGGGGGGATACAGCGAGCAGTTTCATTTCAATGTTCAAGATTCAGTAGCAGTTCTGTGGACCACCCTCAGAACAAAGATAAACAAAAGATATTCTCCATTATGGGGATGTCCACAAGAGGGCGCTGGCGGCAGTTTTTCTTTTTTGGAAAAGTACCACCCAGTGAAGCAGCTGGACTGATAATTTTGTGGGAGTATTTTTCTCCACAAAGTTTACTTGTGTGAATGAATGGGTTGTCAAAAGAAAAAACAGTTGTTAAATTAAAGCTATTTTAAGAATTTAGAAAGTTAAAACAACAACAAAAATATACAAAATGTGAATTCTCCTGAGTAGTTGTAAACAGTAGAACTAGTTTAGTACTGTAATGATCTATCTATTGTATTTGTCGTTAGAGAATTAACAACTTTGTAAAGATTACTGCTGCTGTGATTTCGGGCGATACAAAAATACATTGAATTGAATAAAAGCACTAGTGTTTTGAAAGATAAAATGTTGCAGCTTTTTAAATTCACCACAGCAGAATAACATTTATATATTGTCGTTTATTGGGCTGGGAAAGTAAATCAGTAAATAGGGTCTATTCATCAGTTTGAAGTACTTGTATTTGGACCAGGGACCACACAAATGTATATATTATAATTTGTATCCAAGTACTTTAAGCTGTGACTGCGTGAATACTTCCAACTTGTGTATAATTTCAACATAAAATAAAAGGATACCAAATAAACAGACACACAGTTTGAAAATCGAGATCGCAATTTTTCTGGTCGCATTTAGCAAGTGGCAAAGGCTTTTGCAAGAATTGTTGAAGTTGTCTGCAAACAAAAAGGGAACAGAAGATAAGCTACAAAATCCCTCGACATCTGGAAAAAATGTAATTGATTCTATCTTTTGTCTTGTTTTAGGGCAGAAGGATTTGGGGGTTTTTTCATAATTTTTTATAAGCCGAAACTGTCACAATATGTTTTACAACAAAAGTCTAAAGAATTTTGTGAGAAAAAAATAAATACATGAAAAATTTATATTCAACATTTTACTTAATCATACTACTAACTAATACTATTAATTAATGCCAACGCCAAATAGCATTAATGGATTGGTTAGCATGGATACTAAAAGCAGTAAAATTAAACAAAATGGTAAATGAGCCAATAAAGTTAACCCTATAAGGGCAGAAATACACAATGGAATAAAAGTGAAGCTATGATTTGTAAATGCACTTTTTACCCAAGAAAACCTGCAGCTGTCTGGCTTCAATAAACAACGAAGAATTCAAACTGTTCTCCGTAATGACCTCGATAAGACGCCTAATAACTTTTTAATGAAATTCTTGTGCCAAACTCTGAACACGGCTTGAGCTGACAATTGGAGACACATGATTCGTATAAATGGAAAGCTTAGCTGGGAACGGCATTTTGAGTTTACATGCATTTAAAGCAGTTGAAAAGCAAATACAGGCCCTTATAAAGTGCTCTCTCTGCAGATTTTTAAGTCTGCGTCGCTGGATAACCTGATTTTATGCTACAAAAAGCATGAAAAGTGATTATAGGCACCGCTGGACTGAAGGAATACGTGCTTTAACACAGACTTGGAAAGTTCAAATGAAATAGGAGAAAACGCAGTTTGTTTTCTAGCCTTAGTGTTTAGTATTATCATTTGACTCTGTGACTGAGGAACTTATGAACACTCACTATACACTCTAAATATTTACCCATTTGAAGCAATAGAAAATAAATATCTTTGCAATGTGAAAAGAGTAAACAGCAAGATATAATCCCAAATGTTTGTGTAGCTCCCCGTCCTGGTATCACTGTGTCTTGAATAAATAAACAAAAAATTATTCAAAGTTTCAAATGAGATACAGATGCTGAGGGAGATCGGCCCACATGTGAAAATATTCTCCGCCCTGTGACTTGTGATGAAGCGAATACTTTGGGGCTGAGCTGAAACAGTGAAAAGTATATGGACGTGCAGCGGTGTGAGCTTAACCGTCTGGCACCTTCAAAAACCAATAAAGAGCAAAACAGTCACTTGGTTTTCGAGCAATTTACGCTGCTCTGTAATTACGGCAGAGCCACAATTTGGCTAAACAGTGTTTACCAAATGAGGTTGTGTCCCAAAAGTGTGGGAGACAAGGATTCAACGCAATTTATTTTGTAGCAACAGTCGTCTTGAAAAAACTTCATGTCAATTCGTCAACAAGAGATTCGAGAATTAAACAAATCAAAAACAGGAAAAGCATCGATTAAACAAACACATATTTGACGTTTTATTAACAGTTATTCTTCATTAAAAAATACAATAAACAAACAATCCATAACATTTGTGTTTATGACAAAGTAGATCAGAATTAGTCAATGTTTTTTTAAATAAGAAAATTCACAAACAAAAAAATAAAGAGAAAAGGAACAACATCAGCATCTGTAAAATATACTTCAATGTCCATTCCAAACAATCATCTAGAGATATTATTGTGAATATAAATATTGAGCTTTACTTGCTGGCGCACCTGAAACTGCACCAGTAGTTTTCCCACGTGTTGTAACGTAAGCTCATAAATAACTTTGACTGACCACAAAGTGTTATATGTCAAGTCGCTACTCGAGTCAAAATAATAATTCCATAAACTCTGCTGTGACAACAGCCCTAATCTCAAGATCTCTCCCAACACTTGCCCCAATCAGCTCTCTCTGCTGTTCACATAAACACACAGGAAACAGGAATGTGTGAAAGCGCTCTGGAGAGCAACAGCTGATAGAGCTGGGTCCAAATTCTTTCCTGCACCCCGGGGACAATAAAAATACATACATTGGCCGCATCGCTTTATAGGCCACAAGGTTCATAAAACTTGAAATAAGTAGCAGCTAATCGTCCAGGAAGAGAAATGTTGTCGTATCGCCCAGTCCTAGGTGAAAATAGATCGGTGTGGAGCAATCAAAATCCAATCCAATCCACTTTATTTATATAGCACATTTTATAAAACAAGTTTCCAAAGTGCTGCACAGAGATAAAATCAACACATTTAAATATGCGCAAAGTAAAAACAATACAAATCGGACCTCAGCGCGTGGGGCGGGTGATACATTTGGATGAGGTCCGAGATGTAAGGAGGGGCCAGTCCGTTCAAAGCTTTAAAAACAAAACAATAAATCTTAAAATCAATTCCAAAATAAACAGGAAGCCAGTGCAAAGAAGCTAAAACTGGTGAAATGTGCTCACGTTTTTTGGTTGTA